TTAGTTGAGCATGGGAACTTTTGAATTGGTTTTATAAAATAAATATATTCCACTTTCTCTTCCATATGTTTAATATTGAGGAAAATTTCACTATTAATTCATTAATAAATCAACAAAATTCATGTATTTTTCTCTCGGCTAATAAATTATAAACAAAATTGAGATTTGTTTTAAAAATTTGTGAACTAATGTCTTACAAACAAATTGCTAAACATCTATAACTTATATTATCTGTCATTAAGGAAATCAAGTCTTTTATACTCTTTTCTTTATTTATGAAAAGTTATATTTGCGTCGAGTTTTCAACTGAAAAAATGGCAAAATTAAACAAAAAAATGTTATCTTAAAATGAATTGAGTGCAGGAATGAGAGCAACACTGGCTGTCAGTTCATATCTTAACCGCAAGAAATTATTTCTTCTCTCTATTCTGACTGACATTTTGGGCCATTCGTGTCGACCGACAGGCAATTCAAATACGATCACAACAACCGCTATATTATATTTCATAACTTGTTTTTCGATGTTTACTCAAGAAAAACAATTATTGTTTTTTCATAATGAGACACAAATATATACATTTATAGAGTAATATATTTATTTTCCATAAAAAATACATGTAATGAGTTCTACCATTGATTATTTTTACCATAATTGTTATCTGTTTATTTGATGACTATCTTTAGACGATAAGTATCTCTTTATGTAATCTAGACTTCAGGGGATTCTCTCTCTCTCTCTCTCTCTCTCTCTCTGAATCAATTAATAAGCGATTAAAAAATCTGACACTTTATCCACGAGTTATAAGGCATTTACAGATGAAGTGAACAAATAAAATGAATTAATACAATATTGGCCTAAAAAATCCAATCAATGCACAGAAAAAAATCCAAATAATAATCTAGACTTAAATCAATTGAGATTAATATTGAAACAAATAACTTAGTTGAGCATGGGAACTTTTGAATTGGTTTTATAAAATAAATATATTCCACTTTCTCTTCCATATGTTTAATATTGAGGAAAATTTCACTATTAATTCATTAATAAATCAACAAAATTCATGTATTCTCTCTCTCTCTCTCTCTCTCTCTCTCTCTCTCTCTCTCGAAATCAGTTTCTATATGATAAATGTTTGAATGAGATTACGGGTCAGTAATGTCTTAGACTATATCATCACTAAAAATATTTATTGCAAAGATTGTCAGTTTAAAGTCATTTCTGGTATCAAATCGTTTGATTAATATTTTCAAAACTTATCGTATTTTTCGGTGCATTTGCTTTGACTTGAATTCAATCAAATGTTTCTATGAATGGAAACCAAAGCTGAGATTTTCTCTTCAATAAAGTCATGAATTTTGACGTTTAATATGAAAGGAATGCTCTCAACAGGCGTTTAATTTCCCAAATCATTGGCTTTTCTGAATCATTAGACCATAATTTCATACAATGTAATAAGTTTTGATAATTGTTTTCTTGTATTATATTATGTTTTATTGTTGAAAATCGTTTTTTATATTAACATTTCTTAATAATTAATTATATCTTAACTAAAAATATACTAATTTATATATTTATATAAAAAAATCATTTATAATAACAATGGGCTTTAAATTATGTCTTTTGTATTGACTAAAAAACTCAATACTATATAATAATTAAGTGATTTTTATGTCCGCTCTATTACTCGTATATAATAATTATTATTACCAAAAAGTTTTTATACAATTTTATAAATAATATCGTTAAAAGAAGTGCTGAGATATTATGAGCAATGAAAATATTTGTATAGAGAATTGGTTACACAAATGGCATTACATTATAATATATAAATGTTTCTATGAATGGAAACCAAAGCTGAGATTTTCTCTTCAATAAAGTCATGAATTTTGACGTTTAATATGAAAGGAATGCTCTCAACAGGCGTTTAATTTCCCAAATCATTGGCTTTTCTGAACCATTAGACCATAATTTCATACAATGTAATAAGTTTTAATAATTGTTTTCTTGTATTATATTATGTTTTATTGTTGAAAATCGTTTTTTATATTAACATTTCTTAATAATTAATTATATCTTAACTAAAAATATACTAATTTATATATTTATATAAAAAATCATTTATAATAACAATGGGCTTTAAATTATGTCTTTTGTATTGACTAAAAAACTCAATACTATATAATAATTAAGTGATTTTTATGTCCGCTCTATTACTCGTATATAATAATAATTATTACCAAAAAGTTTTTATACAATTTTATAAATAATATCGTTAAAAGAAGTGCTGAGATATTATGAGCAATGAAAATATTTGTATAGAGAATTGGTTACACAAATGGCATTACATTATAATATAATAACAACAAAAAAAGTCTCCTATAAGTTGTAAATCAAGTCAAACAAAAGTAAATAATCAGAAATATAGAGCAAAACTATCGTAAAAGTTAGCGAAAAATACACAACAATTTTAATGACAAATACGTGTCTGATTTCATATACAATGAATTATTCTCGACTTTATTTGTTATGTAAGTCCAGAATATATATATTTGGAAAAGTATTGATAGGGTTTTTGGTTGATATCTATAGTTGAAAGTTGTTGAAAGTGGAGGAGTGATGGAAACCATTGGATTTATGCGATCTTCCGGTTCGGTGGGAATACTCGGAGAAGCGCTCGGCTTCGGCCACCGCTCCCGACATCATCACAACCGGCTGTAAATGCAATGATTTACGACTCCCGCTGTCGGCCATAAACGCTGAGTTCACTTCACCTGATATTCAGATTTAAAAGCAACTATTAATTTAAAAACCATATATTTTTGCATTCAATAAAATATAATAGCATTATATAAATGTAGGGCTTTTTTAAATACATTGTTATGTAAAAGTCAAATAAGGATTTTATTTATCTCTCGCATAAATCACTGGCTTTTTAAGACCCGATGTTTTTGCGATAAATTGGATTACATTCAAGATTTAGCGATAAGTACTTTATTTAATCAATTATACAAAAAAACGAGTCAAACCTTTATATGTGGATCCGTTGGAGAGATACTGATCGGGCAATAGTTTGACATAACGTGTGCCCAAAACAAAGGCCAAAATGGATAATACCATACAATCGACAACACCAATGATGGCCAGAATGAACGCCCATCTGATACCGCACTGACCGCTACCGTAATTGTCCGCTTCATTGCCGCAAACCTCTCTGACGATCGATGCGTCCCAACCGGCGGGGAATATGAGTATTCCCACTAACATACAAAGGGCTGTACAAAATCATAACAATCATGTTAATTAACTTTGTCTTACATTTAATTCATTTTATGTGAAAGAGTTGTGGAAAATATGTTAGGTTTTGAAAATATCAAGTTTAATAATTTTATAAAAATAAAAAGTTTGGCAAAAATAATAATAAATAAAATATAAATAAATATGCAATTAATAAAAGACTTTTAATTAGGGATAATCTGCGAAAAACAGCCCTCAGCTAAACATTGACTTTAGTTTATCGATGAATATAATGTTAACTCAAAGTTTGTTATCAAACATGTATTCTTGTTATGAATAAAACTTGAATATTATTTTAATAAAATTATTAATAGCAGAAAATAGTGTTCATAGCATTCTTAAACTTTTCAAAACCACAATTTAACATGATAATTATGTTTTATAAAATAGAGCCCTCCTTTTCACTCATTTAACATGGTATCCCAGCTTAAGTCTATGAGTATACTTTAAAATATAGCTAATAATATATATAATTTAAAGTGCTAGACTACATGTGGCCCTATTTCAATCTATTCTGGCATCTATTTAAAAAGATAATTTCTATTTTGTTTCACCCGAATTGTGATTTATCTATAGCTTTGGGTGCAATCCTTGTTTAAATTTAATTAAAAAATCAACATAACATTCAAATTGATAAATGATTTAAATATAATAAATTTTTGTTAACAATATTCTGTAAAATTGTTTAGAAATCTAATGAATAATGTATTTATTCGCAAATAGTATTATGAATACACTTGAAATTGATTTTTAAATCCTATTAAAAATTAATTAAAATAATTACTAAATAAAATATTATAATTAGATTCTATATATTTATGTAAGAATATTTAGTAAATATGATTTATTCTCAATAACGTTATAAACAATGCTTTTGTTTAAAATACATGTAAACCATGGATTCATTTTCATTCAAGTCTTTAGTATTTCATCGCTTAATTCATTTCAATGTAAAGTATTGTAATAACTGACAGATCATTCATAATGGTATCATAATATGGGTCTAA